ATACTGTACCTGACTAGCCCAGTGTTTTTTTCCCCTTTTTTCTTTAGTTTAAGCTTGAGTTTTGCTATAAGAAGCTGATGATCAGAGCCACAATCAGCTCCAGGTCTTGTTTTTGCTGACTATATAGAGCTTCTCCGTCTTTGGCTGCAGAGAACATAATCAATCTAATTTCGGTTGGTGATGTCCATGTGTAGAGTCGCCTCTTGTGTTGTTGGAAAAGAGTGTTTGTGATGACCAGCTTGTTCTCTTGGATTACTGTGATGTTGAAAGGTCTGCCCGTTTTCTGTTACTGTTAGATAATCCTACATTCACTTTTTCAATTTACCATATTCTTTGACCTTGTTCTTCTGTGTCATCAAGTCAGAACTGACTGATAGCTACTCTGATTGGGCTTTCAAGATAAGCAAGATATTTAAGGAAGGATTTTTCCACTTTCACACCTCCAGTGAATTTCCATGGCTTAATGGGTATTTAAACCCAAGCCTCCTGAGTTCTAGCCCATCTCACTGTCCTCCTCACCACATTGGGTATAATCAATCTTTGACCCACAGGATTCCAAATTAGCTAACGTACTTACAGTATAATGCAACTCAATTCAAAATCCTTGAACCTGAAAGCAGGAAATTACATCTTCTCATCTCTCTTGTCTGCACAAGTTCTTCAGCATCGTTAGGTCAGGCTGTTGATCAAAGTGTGCAGAAGTGTTCTGTCTTCAAAGCTGAAACTGAGAAGCACTATCAAGCATTTCTAAATTACCCTGATTATGTTATGTTTATGTTGTTGGAGTTCCATATGGCTGAGCTGTTTTTCTTTTATATGGGTGTCCTGTGCCACACAGTTATTGGTACCCTGATCTGAAAGTTACTCAAAAGAGCCAAGGGCCCTCAAGATGCTGACATATTTTAGTTCTAGGAGGATGAGTGGAGCATAGCTCAGGTAAGGTGCAATTCAAGGCTGGTCCTCATTTGCAGGCAGGCCTTACTCTTTTCTGTCTCCTCCAGTCAGGCAGCAATGTATTTCTCTCAACATGTTCCATGAAGAAGTGAGGCCTAGGCTTCCTCAGTATATCCAGAGGTGGTCTGGGAGCCAGGGCTCACAGGGTTGAAGCTCTTGGATTTTCTGACTAACAAGGACTATGACATCATCTGCCACCCCTATGCATCGGTTTCCCTCTTCCTTCTGAGTTTAACTGTAATCCTCTTGGTAGTTGGGAGACATGGATTTTCATCAGGAACAAGATTTTGTTGTAGGTTATACCCATTGTAATACAGTGTATTTAAAAGTGATTTTGACTTGAATAGGCCATTAAGAGTCACTTTAGAAAAGTGGTTAATATGCACCAGTATTTGAGAGTAGATCTGTCACAAAGCAGCAAATAAGAATCATTTACTTTACAAAATGCCTACTCCTCTATTTTTGATATATACCGTATTTTTCGCTCCATAAGACGCACCTTTCCATAAGACACACCAAGTTTTAAGGAGAAGAAAACAGGAAAATATAAACTATTTTCTTCGCTCCATAAGACGCACAGACTTTCCACCTCCCCTGTTTTGTGGGGGAAAAGTGTGTCTTATGATGCGAAAAATACGGTACCAATCTAGCAGTCAGCATGTTTTAACACATTTTATGAAGCCAAATAGTGGGGACTTGTCACAACGAGTACCTCCATGTCTAAATTTAACATTTCATCATTACGTATATCATTGTGTAACTATATATAGTAGCATATTATTTTAAAAATTGTAGTGCAAACATGCCTTTATATTATAATCCTACATCTATCCATCCCCTGCTCCCAAAATAGGCTTTTGCTCCAATATTCTTTGTTGTCGTTAATAATGGAAACCTTACTCTCATGTCCTGTGTGGAAGTGAATGCTAGTGAAGGTGATGAGCTTTACAAGTAATGTATTCTCGAAGGCTTTCATGGCCAGGACCCGATGGTTGTTGTAGTTTTTTTTTGGGCTGTTTGGCTGTGTTCTGAAGGGTTTTTGCCAGTGTCTGTGGCTGGCATCTTCAGAGGACAGGAGTTAGAATTCCGTCTGGGTTCTGGTGTAGTGTGTGTGATAGTTGAGTATTTATAGCTGTGGGATCAGCTTTTCGTCCTTTTCAGGAGATTGGGTGATTACAGTGAACAGGATGTGTTTTTTTTTTAACGGGTGTATTGTTGTGATAAGGGGGGGAGATGATCTGTCACTGTGATTGATGGGTGTCATTAGCTAGTTTTTGTGTACAAATACTGTCTGCAGTCCTGCAATACGGGATATATGTACAGCTATGACGCTTGAGATATATGAGATTCATATTTTTGGTAGATAGCTTGTTCAGCAGTTTCTGGGCAAACCATTCAAATGTCAGGGTGTTGCTGGGGGAACTACTTTAGAAGATACTAATTTTAAAAATCCATTTGAAAGTTTGGATGTGCTCCCTATTGCTGCTTCTTAAATTTGTGGCAGAAGAAATATAGACATGGAATTTTGTTTCCACATAAAGTCATTATTAAGAAGGATAACTATAATGAGCCGATGAAGCTATCCATAACTGAATAGCAGTTTGAAAATGCTATACCTCTATACATCTATAGACCAATACAGATTGTTACCATGTTGTACTGTGGCCAGGTATCTTTCTTCTTGTTGTCTTTCTTTTTTAATATGCTGCTTCTTCAAGATGTATAATAATATTATCTTTTTTATTTTTCTAGTATGCAATGTTTACTGCAGTACACAAGCATTACTCTCTGGAACAGTGGAAGCTATTTGCAAGCAGTCATCCAGAATGCCTAGAGGTAGATTTTCATGTACTTAATTATTATATGTAATTATAGTAGGACTCCCATATTTGAGGGATCGATATCTGCATTTTCACTTATCTGCAGTTTGTTACAGTCTTATATACAGTCTTATATAAAGGGTGCCTCCTTGTGGCCTTTGTACTGCCTCTTTCTGGTCTTTGTCGTCTACAGTCTTATATACAACATAAAGGGTGCCTCCTTGTGGCCTTTGTACTGCCTCTTTCTGGTCTTTGTCGTGCCGTCTTGTATGTTATATATTCATGGTTTCAGGCATCCACGGTAGATTGGAGAACCAATTCCCTGCGGATATGGGGTCCCTACTCTATTGCTTTTTAAATTGCATTGCTTAGAATTTGGTATGAAGAGAGAATCTTGGAGACTCACAATGGAAAAAAAACTATATTGGTCTCAAGAGAGTGTTTTGTAGGGGGGAAATGTTCTTAAAAGAATTGTCTTAAGTGGTTCTTTCATTAAATACCAATTTTGTGGTGAATATTTAACAGATCAAAAGTAAAAAAAGCTTGCTGTAGCAGGTTCCCCTTGTCAAGGGGAACCTAGCAGGTATCTGTAAGAAGTTAAGAAGGAAAAAAGTATGTTAGCAAAAGCCTTCTTGAATAAAATAAACATCTTTCCCGGTAAATGTTTAATTCAAAATGGAAGATCCTACTTTTTTTTAAAAATGAAAAGTTGACAGTGAAACAGAAAATGAAGAGGATATGGTTGAATTTCAAGAATGATGCATTTGCTGAGGCAGTTGTAATCTGTCCTAACTTTATTCAAAGTATGGAAATCATTGTGAAAGAGCAATGAGAGTCAGAGATCATACAAACACTGGTGAATTTCCACACACTTGGGTAAGAAACATATTTATTTATTTCATACATTTTTATACCACCCCAGTTAATGAGAATCCACTACTCTGGCAGCATTGACACGAATGTGTTCCCTAAGGAATTAGTTAGAGATTATTAAATGTTATTTCTAGCCTTTACAAAGCATTCATAATGCATCCATGAGTGCCCCCCCCCCCAAAAAATGAGTACCTCTGTGAGTTCTAGAAAAATACTAGAAAAAGTATTATGGCATAAGCTTTTGTGGGCTAGAGTTCAATGTTAGAAGCTCAGCGCTAATAGGAGCACTTTGACCTAAAAACACTGGAGGAATCTGTTCATACAGGCAAATCAGGGGAAAGAAATCTTGACTCTTTGCTTCCTCCCCATGCTTCCTGTTCTTTAATAATACTATTGAAAGGCTTATCTCGAAAGTTAGTTTGCCTCAAGAAAGTGCTTGGGGGGAGGAAGTCTGTCCTCTCTGTCAGCTACCTACTATTCTCGTGGGATGCAACAGCTTTTCCAAAGCATCTCCTCGTGCCTAATTTCAAATTCTCAGTGAGGTGGTAGTGTTAATTGCTTTCAACACCTAGGTCAAACCCAATCTCCCCAAAAGTTAGGGCACCTTAATAAATTCATTTTGGTGTGAGTTATGTAGATTACAGTTCAAAATGGTGCACTGTTTCCCCTTCTTTGCTGCTGAACCAAAAAAGCTGACACCCTTTAAAAAAATCTGTGATGCTGCCATAGAGAAGATCATAACACTGGAGGATTTGACTTCCAGAGAGTGAGATCACACGTTAAGACAAAGATGTATTTTCTTGTCTTAGACTTTTATCCCTCTGGGCATTTCCATCACTATGCAAATCTTTCAGTGCACAGCAGCGTTGAAACAAAACTCAGCAGATTTGTCAAATATATATTAAGTCCAGCTTATGTTAAACAGACAATTTTTTCATGTTAAGTGCACACTGCTTCTAGCTGTGGAATCAGCATTTCATTTACTGAGGCCCTCAAAGGGAAGGAGGCTTTCTTCCCTTTATATTTACTACTGTTGCTATATAGATGCTACTAGGAAAGAAGGAACACATGACTTTTGCACAGTGGTCTGCCCTGGTTGGGATGGTAGTAGCAGCAGAAAAAAGAGGCCATGTTCTCTCTCCAGTCATGCTACAGTGTACTCACAATTTTGAATGTGTCAGCCATGCTAAGGACTATTACTTCAGTGCCACCTGTTGCAGGAAAAGCTGCAAAGCAGCACAGCACTGAGCAAGCCTGTTTTTATGTGCAACGTCTGCATACAATAGTAACAAAGGTGGGTCTTATTCAGAGAGCCCCTGACACATGCACATGACATGGATGGGTGTCAGGGGCTCTTTGAGTCACTTCTTGTCGTTTTTCATTCCTTCCCTTCAGGACATCCTCTTCATTGGTTTCTGAGCTCTCTAGCTTCCATGGTAACCAGAATGATGCATGGACCGATTTGTGTGTGTGTGTTACATTTTGGTTGCCCATTCCTCACACATGATTTACTACCAAACATTAAGTGTAAAGGAGGGCAAATAAAACATTTTATTCCACTCAGCCTATACTGAGCACAGTCCAGAAAAAATAAAGTACAGATAAGGCCTGGTACACGAAAGCACTCAAATGAGGCAGTATAGTGAACTGAGACACAGCAGGTTGTAAGTGCAGGATATTGTTGTTAGAGCTTGCCCACATAAAAATTCCTTGTGATCAAACACACTTCCAGCACATTTGAGAAGCGGTCCTGAGCCATTACATCCTGTCTTCATTTTCAGCACCTAACAGGTTTTTTTAACAAAAGAGAACATTCAAAACCATGGTTTATGACCCACAACTTTAAATAGTATGACCCACTCTCTCTTGAGCTGTCTCCTACTCATTTCATTTAATTCTGCTGCCATGGAGGCTAAGCCTAAGTCCTAAACAGCTGTGCATAGTTAAATAATAAAATTCTATAAATTTCAAACTGAGTCTACTGTCCAGTGGCTTTGATATGTCAAAGTTGTATGTGGCAATATGTCCAAGCAAGACACTGATTATAGAGCAGATCATGCGACTTTTTGACAGTAGATAGATCTGCCAGGATTTTGAACACAGCAATTAAAGGCCACCTTTTGTGTGTGTACATATTTAAGCAGAGACAAAAATAAGGACAACAATGAAAAACAAATAGACTTGAAGAATGAAAATAAGAGATCAGTATAAATAAAGACAGACATAGTAAAAAGAAACCTGAATCCATCATTCACTTCTGTAGATTTTTTAAATTCATGCTTAATCTAAAGTTAGGCCCATTTGTTCCCTGGGTGATACTTCTTGGTAAGTGCATATAGGATTGAAGATGCAAATTATTAGTAATGATGGAGCAGTAAAGCATTAATGGAATATCAAAGCAGATTTTTAAAAAAGTCATTTATGGGTAAGATCTAAACTAGCCAGGAAAAAGTGATTCATTGATGAAATACATAAATATAAATTGAAATGACAAAAATTAATAGAAAATGTATATTTTGCTAGGTACAAAATATAAAAACAGCTTGAAAATATAACACCAAGTTTTACTTAAGCAGAAATTTAGTTCTTAAGTGACTGAACAGCAGATGATTCTTACTTAAGCAGTTCAGTCACTTAGTTCTTAAGTGACTGAACAGCAGATGATGTACTTATAATATTCAAAAGAACTTTGTACCTAAAATGTGGGATGGAAGGGAATGACCTACATGGCTGTGGGGCAGAAAACAGCAAGATTCTTCTTCGTGACCTCTGCAAATGCACACAAATGGGTTAGACTGTGACTATGCAGGACTTCTCGGAATATTGTAGAGCTTAAAGAAACGTGATTAGTAAGACATTTCCCCATAGTGCGCATGCTCCGCCTGCCCGTAATACCTCAGTTCCTTCTTGCCACCATTGCGATCGGACTCCTTTGCGACGTCCAGAGCAAACCTCTCTTTCTATTTTTGGCTTTTTGACTTTGGACTGTCTGCCTATTCACGATTTCTGGACCATGGATTTTGTCTCTATTTCAATGGTTTGATACGATCGGGCTGCTAATTGTTGACGTTTTCCCGTGAGTTATTTCCCCCTTCCGTTTCCTGCCTATCTTTATGGCCTCGTCAGGCCCCTTTAAACGTACATTGTGTGCAAAACAAGACTCCCTTTACCAACGGCCATGATTGCTGCTTATTTTGCTTAGGGGGAAGACATCAGACACACTTCTGCCCGGAGTGTAAAAAGTTGACCATTTGGGCGCTTAAGTTCTGCTTGCAGCGACTTCGTTCATACTTGTGGGAAAACTTATTCTCTGTGGTCCAGGTCAGAAAAACCACATCAACCATCTAGAGATGCTGGCGGTCATCAGGGTGTTTCACGCCTTTTATCCTCTAATAGTAGGCCGAGGGGTCCAGGTTTCCACAGACAACACCATGACCATGTATTATATCAACAAGCAAGGAGGCACCCACTCGTTGTCACTCCTATATTTGGCAATTCATCTTTGGGAATGGTGTTACAACCACCATATTTTCCCAATTGCCATTCATGTGCCAACAGAAGACAATGATATCGCCGACCGTTTGAGTTGCCTGCCCATTCAAACTCACAAATGGGAGCTCGACAACTCCGTTGTTTCTCAGATCTGCAGTCAATGGGGAACTCAGCCATCGACATGTTTGCAACCCAGGGCAACTCCAAATGCACCAAGTTTTGTTCTCGAGCAGGAAGAGGCAAGAACTTCTTCGGCAATGCTTTCATGGTGAATTGGGAAGATGGTCTCCTTTATCTGTTCCCTCCCAGCCACTAATTCAGCGGACATTAGTTAGCATACGCCAGCTACGCGCTGATGCCATTCTAGTGGCTCCATGGTGGCCTCAGCAACCTTGGTTTACTGCTCTCAAGACCATGGTTTCTGAGTTCCTGAGGCTGCCTCCCCAACCATTTCTTCTGACCCAGGATGCCAGCAGGATCTGCCATCCTGACCTGAAGTCACTCCACCTCACAGCTTGGAGGATTCCCCCAGTATAGCAGAGGTTTGGGACAAAGCCAGAAAACTCTCCACCAAGCTGTTGTACTCTTACTGGAACATTTTTTTAAAGTTCGCTGCCTTTAGAGGTCTTGTACCTGTTCCAGTTTCGTTGGATAATCTTCTTGTCTTTCTGCGCTACCTATTTGACCAAGGACTGGCCCATTCTACACTAAAGGTTTATATCTCCGCTGTTGTCTCTTACCAACCTACGGGTTCAGAAGCCTCCCACTTGTATTCCCACCCGACCTTGAAGATGTTTTTCCCTTATGTAATATTCGCCCATCTGTCCGACCTCCATTGCCTCAATGGTCCCTTCAAGTCATGTTACGAGCTCTTACTCACCCCCCGTTTGAGCCAATGGCTTCTTCAGATCTTCAACTCCTCTCTTTCAAAACACTATTTCTTGTAGCAATAACTTCTGCATGATGAGCGAGTGAATCAGCTGCCCTTCAGACTGATGCCCCTTATATACAATTCCACCCAGACAACGTCATCTTATATCCTGTTGTTTCCTTTCTGCCCAAAGTTCTATCAAGTTTTCATGTTAATCAACCTTTGATTCTTCCAACGTTATTCCCTGATCCTTCTTTGGACGTTGAGCACATGCTCCATTCCTTGGATGTTCGTCATGCCTTAGCATTTTACACTTCTAGGACTAAAGACTTCTACACTTCCCCTAGACTATTTGTCTGCTTCCATGGCCCACGTAAAGGCTCTCCTGCCTCCTCACAGACAATTTCTAGGTGGATTGTGTCTACTATCACCTTGGCCTATGAACAGGCTGGCAAAGCTCCACCACGTGCATTAAAGGCGCATTCTGCGAGAGCTATGGCTACTTCGACTGCCTTATTGCGTGGTGTTGATGTTTCTGACATTTGTCGAGCTGCCACTTGGTCCATACCATCGACCTTTGTGACACACTACCGTCTGGACCTCAGGGCCAAGAAGGAAGCAAATTTCAGAAGGGCTGTGCTATTGTCATACTTGGCGTGACAGCCCTTCTTCCGGTAAGTGAGCTTGCTAGTCACCCATTTGTGTGCATTCACAGAGGCCACAAAGAAGAAAGGGAGGTTACTTACCTATAACCATGGTTCTTCTAGTGGTCCTCTGTGAATCCACACATCCCGCCCATCCTCCCCACTGTCCGTCACTTATATTTGATCTTTGGTTGCAATCTGACAGCGGTGGACATTTCGGAACTGAGGTATTACGGGCGGGTGGAGCATGCGCACTACAGGGAAATGTCCTACTAATCACGTTTCTTTAAGCTCTAGAATATTCCGAGAAGTTCTGCGCAGGTGCATTCTAACCCATTTATCTGGATTCACAGAGGACAACTCGAAGAACCATAGTTACAGGTAAGTAACCTCCCTATTTCATCTTCAGAAATAATACAGTCATTTTTAATGTGTAGCAAACATTTTGAAAAGTATCTAGGAATGGAGCAGAGTCGAGAAGCATTTAATTTTTGGACAACACCTGACAATATTAGCTATGGGATTCTTGGAGTTCAATTTGCCCCCCAAAAACTCATCAGAGTTTGAATGGAAGATCCATGTTACTTCTCGAACTCCAGTTCTAAGCACCAACCATAAACTTACAGATATCTAGATCTTTGAATTTGAAAGGGCTTCTTGCTTCCTTCCTTCCTTCCTTCCTTCCTTCCTTCCTTCCTTCCTTCCTTCCTTCCTCCCTCCCTCCCTCCCCTCAAGATATATTCTCCGATTTCTTTCTTTCCTTCTTTCCTCCCCTCAAGATATATTCTCAGATTTAACTTTGTCCCAGTAGGCTTATTTTGCTAATAGATGTACAAAAAATATTCCTGACCTCATTTCTTTAAAAGTGGGTGATTGTTCTTCTTTTCTGCTTTCCAGCATTTAGCAGTGAGCTCAGGCAGTGGAGTGGCTGACTTTGAGAAGCTGACAAACATCATAGAGGCCATTCCACTTATCAAGTACATCTGTCTGGATGTAGCCAATGGTTATTCAGAACATTTTGTGGAGTTTGTGAAAGCTGTTCATGCTCGATTCCCAAAGCACACTATCATGGTAGGCATGAGAAAAAGGATGTGAGGTTTTGTTAAATGTTGTTTATTCCCACAAGTTGCTTTTAAATTAAAAAAAAGTCCGAAGTAAGTTCCTGAATTTGGTGGGAGGAATGATAGCAAGGAAAACGTATATCAGACTGGAGATGTTTTTCAATTTTGCTTTCTCCAATATTTGATTTTTCTAAAATCTCAAGTTCTTTTCTAAATTTATGAAGAAATTTGCAAATTTTGAATGGAACTCTTTAGCCTTTGGAAATCTAACCAGTATACCTTATCTCTTTATGAAGAGGCTCATGTGTACAGTATCTGTGTGCTTTACATAATTGTACAAGACAGGGAGCCTGCCATGAAAAAGTTACTGCAACTGCATTTGATTACCACAAGCAAGGATTCAGAGAAAAAATGTAGATTCAGAGCTAGGATTTAAATAGCTAACACACTCAAAGCTCTCTTTCTTCTTCAGGGAAAATACCAGTTTTGTATTTTTAAATAACCATATTTTAAAATCCCAAGTTCTCCTTGCTGAATTTATTAAATTTTTTATAAAATTTGAAAAGTTGCCAGAAAGGAACCCAGCAAAATTTTCAGCTGTCTACATTGGCCAGATCAGTTATTCCTGATATGGAGAGGATCTTAGGTGGGGAGAAAAAAGATAGGAAGCCTAATTGAGTGCCGCAAGCGTGGTTGATTCATAGTGTAGCTTTTAAGTGCTATGTCAGTGGTGGGTCACATGTGGCCCTTTGGGCATTGTTGGATTGTAACTCCCAATAGCCTTAGGTAGTAGGCAACAGTGATGTATAGTAGGAATGGCAGTCCAGTAACATTTGGAGAGCCACAGGTTGCCAGCCTGTAAGATAAGCATTTGAAAGTCTAGACGGGCAAAGTCAGTTTCTCTTTTATCCACATTCATATTTTAGATTCTTTCTGTCAACTATAGACAGTTTGTGAATTTTGGACATTTTGATTTTAAAAATAAACTCAACAGAACAAATCTATTATCCATCCCTACTTTTAAGTACTGTCATGTGAAAAAGGAAGTACATCCTCTTTGAATTCTATGATTTTACATTTCGAGGCATAATAAAAATCATCTGGTCCTTAGCAGGTCTGAAAATTAAGCAAATACAACCTCAGATGAACAACACATGCCATACTACACCAGTCATGATTTCTTTAACAAAAATAAATTCAAAATGGAGAAGCCGTGTGTGAAAAATTAAGTACACCTTATGATTTGATAGCTTGTAGAATGACCTTTAGCAGCAGTAACTTGGAAGTTATCATTTTCTGTATGACTTTATCAGTTGTCTCACATCATTATGAAGGAATTTTTGCCCACTCTTCTTGCTTCGGTTCATTGAGGTTTGTGGGCATTTGTTTATGCACAGCTCCTCTCTTAAGGTCCCACCACAGCATTCCAATCGGGTTGAGGTCTGGACTTCAACTGGGCCATTGCAAGACCTTGATTCTCTTCCTTTTCAGCCATTCTGTAGTAAATTTGCTGGTGTGCTTGGGATCATTGTCCTGTTGCATGACCCAGTTTTGGCCAAGCTTTAGCTGTCAGACAGATGGCCTCACATTTCATTCTAGCATACTTTGGTACACAGAGGAGTTTTCCATTTGTAAATAATTGTCCCCACTGTAGAATGGTGGACTTTTAAGTTGTTTGGAAATGGCTTTTTAACCCTTCCCAGATTGATTGGCAGCAAATGTTGCTTCTCTATAATCATTGCTGATGTGTTTCTTCCTTGGCATTGTGTTAACACACACCTGAATGTTCCAGACCAGCAGACTGCTAAAACTTCGGCTTTTATAGAGGTGGTGACACTTGCTGATGATCAGTTAATCAAGAACATTTGGTTAGCAGCATCTGGCTGCTACTTGACATTTGGTTAGCAGCATCTGGCTGCTGCTTGGCCTCTTAATTCCTATGGAAGCAGTAAGGGTTTAGTTTTTCACACATGGCTTCTCCATTTTGTTTTTATTTTTGTAAAATAAATCATGAAATGGTGTAATATTTATGTGTTGTTGTACATTTGAGTTTGTAGTTGCCTAATTTTCAGAACTGCTAAGGACAAGATGATTTTTATTATAATTATATCCATTATTTATCCATGATTATACATAAAATATAAAGAAGGCTGACTGTAGAATAACTGATGCTTTTGAATTGTGGTGCTGGAGGAGACTCTTGAGAGGCCCTTGGACTGCAAGAAGATCAAACCTATCCATTCTGAAGGAAGTCATCCCTAAGTTCTCACTGGAAGGACAGATCCTGAAGCTGAGGCTCCAGTACTTTGGCCATCTCATGAGAAGAGAAGACTCCCTGGAAAAGACCCCGATGTTGGGAAAGTGTGAAGGCAAGAGGAGAAGGGGATGAAAGAGGACAAGATGGCTGGACAGTGTTATCGAAGCTACCAACATGAATTTGACCAAACTCTGGGAGGCAGTGGAAGACAGGAGGGCCTGGCATGCTCTGGTCCATGGGGTCACAAAGAGTCGGACAAGATTTAATGACTAAACAACAACAAACACGTAAAATCATGGAATTCAGAGAGGATGTACTTTCTTCTTCACATGACTGTGTACTCATATCTATGGACAAAAACCAATAACTTGTTTAAAACTCTCTTTTAATCTGCTTGAGGTACATTTTAAATTCAGTACTTCCTGTCAAAAGCACTTTTTCCTGCCAAGAGGAACTTTATTTTGCTGACTGGATAGCTCAGTGAGTTGGGTAGCTGCCTGCAGAGCCAGAGGCTGGGAGTTTGATTTCCCCCATTGTGCCTTGTGGGAGAGGAGCCAGCCTGTGGTGCCTTGGGCAAGGTGCACAGTCACAGAGTGCCCCTAGAAGAAGAGGAATGGTAAACCACGTCTGAGTACTCCTGTACCTTAGAAAGCCAGGAAAGGGTTGCCATAAGTTAGAATCAACTTAATAGCATGTAAGTAATAATTTATTACTCTTACCAGTACTAAACAAATGAGAAGGCAATACTTTCCTTTCTGAGGTCAGTCTGCAAGTGAAGAAAGAAAAGGAGAGAAGAAAACAAAGAGCTTATTGGGGCTTTGCAGGCTGGCCACTTCTGGGCTCCTAAAACGCTTTTAATCTATAGTCAGCAAAGATCCCACCGAGCAAACATGCAACCTGATCTGTCACTTTGGACAGTGTTTGCTTCTTGGGATCATATAACGTGTGCACGTCAATATCTGTGCCCCCCCCCCAAAAAAAACCCTGCACTGCCTGCAGTTCATAACATAGCAAATTGCTTCTAGGTCAAGCAGTCAAAATGCCAAACCTAGGAACTGCATATCAGAATTGTCATATAATGAGAACCTTCCCTGTAAAGGAAGACTGAAACATTTGGAGATGTTTCCAGGAAAAAGTGAATGGGGGTGAGGGGCTTAATAAGACATCTTAAATGAGGAATGATGTAAAAACTAGGCCATTTTCCTACCTCTCACATAATCTGTAAATTTTGGAGAGCAGAGAGTACTGTGTTTTCAGTATACTGAGAAAATGGTGTTTATGAGAAGGAGGTGTGTGTGAGTTGAAAGCCAGACTATAATTTGCTTTATTATTATTATTATTTAAAAAGCAGTCTTAAATGTGCCACTAAGAAAAGGGGGCAGGGAGGAAAAGGAGCCACACAGTCTTCAGACTGGAACATGTTCCTAATCTGGATATGGCCCCTGGGCCATTTTAAGAGCTCTTACAAACTGACTTTTTCAAATTACAGCTCACAGAATCCCCATAACCAACATTAATTTTTTTTTTTAAAAAATCTTTTATTTTGAAGTTGAATAAATTAATGTTTTCAAGCACTCTGGCTGTGTCACAGAAAATGTGCCCTCTCCGCCTCTGTATGTGCCCACAAAAATGCAGTTTGCAGTAAAGGCAAGGTCACCAGTCTGGAATACATTCCGTATTAGGTCCCACATGGCTGCCTTCCTTTTAAAAAAAAGCTAACTTAAGTACATTTTAGATAAATGTAATAAGCAGACAGAGTTGGTTCTGATAATGTAATTATATACCATATCTTGCTTTGTGATAAAAAAATATTGTTCCTATTGAGTTACTTCTTGCATGAACAGGGTAATGTAGGAACTACAAGCCCATGCACAATTGTGGCTCTTTTTTTATACAAACCAGCACAATTTGTGGTACTTTTCCCTTTCTCTCGATGTGTTTGCCTGTGTTTCAGGCAGGTAACGTGGTGACAGGCGAGATGGTGGAAGAACTACTTCTGTCTGGAGCAGACATAATCAAAGTGGGAATTGGACCAGGTAAACTGTTCTGGGACACATCATCTTTATGTTTATGCGCCTGAGTTGGTTGCTTGTGCATTACATTCCTATTAGGCGTTATCGCTTGAGCATACAGAACATACAGTGTTGAATGTGTTGTGAACCTGCAGACTAAGGAGGTAAAATGAATGGGTAGGTAGCATCCTATGTTGTGATTTTCCTTGCTTTCTGACATGGTGTTTTATAACCAAGGTGTTCTCTTTCCCACTCAGTTATAGGATACAGAGCAAAAGTTGGTGATGGGTGATGCTACAGTCAATGTGGGTTTGAGAAGAATATGGGTAGAAATGATCATACTGTCTCTGCTGTCACTCAGTAGAGTTCAGGGATTGCTGTAGACCCTATATATGACTCATGAGTCAGAATCAATGCCTCTTTCCATTTTCTTTTTGTTTTTAGACTGAAGTTAATAGGCCTGCCTGAATCATTGTGTTCAATCCCTTTTGCTGACCTGGAAATTTTTTAGCTGTACTGATTCCCGAAGCCCAAGAAGGAAGCTTGGATAGTTTTTGTTGTCGTAGGCTTAGTATTTCCAACTTATTAACCGTAATTAAGGTAGCAAGTCTAGGTTTGTCTGCTTGCTTGCTCACTCCTTTTCTATCCTCTTTTGAATATGAATTCTTCCTGACTTTTCCAGTGCTGTCTTCTGCCAGTTTTATTGGCAGTTAATCTTAACTGCTGGTAACACTAACTGGGATCCCTTCTGACCAGGATTGCCTACATCTGAAACCCTGTCCATGGTTTCAAATGCTGATTAGCATTAACCACAGATTGTGTTGATGTAATGCTTAACCACAGTGAAGGCTGCCTGAGGGGAGGGAGTCTGCAGCCTCATTTCTTAAAATGTTGGCAGTGCAAAACATAGTCCAAATACTCCATGCTACCCTGGCTAGCAAATAAGTTAGATGTAGGCTGTGGCAGGACTTTATCATGAGTCTGATGCTCTTCATCATTCTTACCATCTCTCTGCCATCTTAATGTGTTTACCATATTCTATAAAGATTTCCTCTGTCTTTTCAGCTAAATAGGTGGAAGGGATCTTTATGGAATTTGTGGATCTTATCAAACGAGGAAAGGGAGCTAGGACCTCAAGACAGGAATAAAATTCAAAAGGAATGTCATAAAGTAGGCTGAAACAAACAAAATAAATTTAACAGATACATACCAAATTCTGCATGTAAGCAAAACACAAAATGAAACTCACATTCATGGAGACAGGATGGAAAATAATAGTTAACTTGCAAATGATACATGTCAGAACATGACTTAATTAATGAAATGTCATTGTTCACATTTCAGCTTTCTCCTCATTTATTTTTGCTGCCTAGGCTCTGTGTGCACCACTCGGATAAAGACTGGCGTGGGCTACCCACAGCTGAGTGCAGTGATTGAATGTGCAGATTCTGCCCATGGACTGAATGGGCACATCATCTCAGTAAGTGGGATCTGTGTCATGTTCTGTAAATCAAAAAAGGGTACAGAATGAAAAAAATCTGACAGGATGAACTCGAGGAGTATCTTCTTGTAGCCATTTCTGAACTTTCTATGCATATGTGGGGCTGATGAACATTATGGCAAATGTATAGATGCCAGACAGGTCTGAAATGGAGTAGAGGTACTGCTCCTGTTCTCACACAACACTTAATTAATCCCCCTTTTTGGGGGGGAGGAATTCCTTTCTCATAGCTTTGTGTACAATATATGCATTTACGTAGCAAATGTTTCAACTCCTCTGCTTCTTATGCTTAACCTGCAGGGGCTAATAACAGACTCTGATTCCATATAGACTAGTATTTATGTGCAATTGCTTGTGGCATCTCCTGATAAAATGATTATTTGCGGCAGCAACAAATGTGATGTCTTCCTTCTACCTCTTTTCTGTAGGATGGGGGATGCAGCTGTCCGGGAGATGTTGCCAAAGCTTTTGGTGAGTACAGTGTGCTGCTTGTCCAAAGAGCATCACAACCAGTTTTCCATGACCAACAATTTCTGGATTAATACTTTCCCTCCTTATCTCTGTTTGTAATATTTAGAGGTTAAATTTAAGAATTTTCTTGTCCTTAAAAATCTCGTATTGATACCTGTGCAATTTTTTTAAAATTGCAATCCCAGGACTTACACCTTCCACAATTACCAAATAACAGATTTCTAAACCCCCTCGAGTTAAATTTCTGAGACTTTCCTGAGATATTATCTGTTGCATGAACAATGAAGGACTAGCCATTTTTCAAAGTTGTAACCATGTTAGTTTGCTGCAGCAAAACCAACAAAAGAGTCTCGTGGCACTTTTGAGACCAGCAGCTTTTATTTGGCACAAGCTTTCCTGGATATAACCTACTTCTTGCACATAATGTTCAAGCACAAGTCTCATATGCACACTGGTTGCAGTTATGGAAGTAGGACAGAATGAAATGATGTACATAAAATTAGATTTCACTCACCAGTGACTAGAGACATGACACGGGAATCAGATCTTGTTGCAGATCCAACCTTGCCTTGTAACTGCATAGGAAACACTGTTAAAGGTTCTAAAGGTGGCCATCCTTGAACAATTTCAAAGACAGATTCCAAAGGGGAACAGCTGAATAAAAACACATCAGCATGTTTGTCTATATCCCTCCTGTCTTACATAAAGCCAGGGGCTTTTTATTTCATATGGGCCAGAATCCTGTTACTAACATATGTTAGTGTAAGTCAGGCTGTGGTCACACCAGGGAAATGTTACCCACTTGTAATGATACTTTCCATACCTTTGTTGTAATGCATCACAGTCATATGGTATATATACCTGGCTGAACATCCCAATGTGTATATACACACACAGTCACTTGTAGGTGGAGTAGGTGACAGTAGGTGGAGTGATACAACCTCCCTTATGAGAGTTGGGGCTCTTTTGTCTAAAGAAAAGGCGCCTGAGCGGGGACATGATTGAGACATATAAAATTATGCAGGGGATGGATAAACTATTTTCCCTCTCACTCAAAAACAGAACCAGGGGACATCACTCCAATTGAGTGTTGGGAGAGAGAACAGACAAAAGAAAGCATTTCTTTACCCAGCATGTTGTTAGTCTATAGAACTCCTTTCTACAAGATGTGGTGGTGGCATCTGGCCTAGATGCCTTTAAAAGGAGACTGGACAGATTTCTGGAGGAAAAGTCCATCGCAGGTTAGAAGCCATGATGGGGATGTATAATCTCCAGGCTTAAAAGGATGGTATCTCCAAATGCTAGATGCACGGAAGAAGTATCAGGAGACAGGTATTTCGTTGTCTCATGTGCTCCCAGAGGCATCTGGTGGGGCAACTATGAGATAGAGGAAGCTGGACTAGATGGGCCTTTGGCCTGATCTAACAAGGGCTCTTCTTATGGTCTTACGTCTTTAGTTTCTTAAATTGTCACTGAGATTATTTTATCACAGTGGTTATTTTGGGACTTAAAGACTCTCCCTCCATCCGGTGACCTCTATAGGCTTCTCTATGGTGAAAAGGATTCCAAAGAAACCTTAGGATCTCTGGGGTGAGGAATCAGATATTTTTTAATTTCTGTAAAATCACTGCAGCTGATGACATTAAACAACCTTACATGGCATAAATTGAGCAACAGGAATTTGACCTCCATATGTCATATTATTCTGTCCCACTGCCATAATCAGAACCAGAGTGTGTGTAAGCTGGTGGCTTAAATACAGTGGTGCCTCGCATAACGTTTGCTTCGTTTAACGTTTTTTTCGCTTAACGTTTATTTTTTCAGAGTCAGATTGTGCTTCGTATAACGTTTTTCCCATGGGCCAAAATCCTGTTACTAACATATGTTAGTGCTCAATGGACCTGGCGCCCCCACCCAGGGTTGTGTCACTTGTAGGTGGAGTAGGTGACAGTAGGTGGAGTGATACAACCTCCCTTATGAGAGTTGGGGCTCTTTAGTCTAAAGAAAAGTCCATCGCAGGTTAGAAGCCATGATGGGGATGTATAATCTCCAGGCTTAAAAGGAAGGTATCTCCAAATGCTAGATGCACGGAAGAAGTATCAGGATACAGGTATTTCGTTGTCTCATGTGCTCCCAGAGGCATCTGGTGGGGCCACTGTGAGATAGAGGAGGCTGGACTAGATGGGCCTTTCTGTAAAATCACTGCAGCTGATGACATTAAACAACCTTACATGGCATAAATTGAGCAGGAATTTGGCCTCCATATGTCATATTATTCTGCCCCACTGCCATAATCAGAACCAGAGTGTGTGTAAGCTGGTGGCTTAAATAATATATATTTTATGCACATGAGGCAGTGAGTTATTATCAGTGAAAGCTCATGCCAAATCAAGTTTGTTTGTGTTAAAAGTGCTGCAACAGTCTTTAATTTTTTGTTCTCTTCTAATCTGTCTGTTTTATATTATCCTAATTATACAATTATAAACAACCTGGAGAAAAAGCATTGAATATCATGCCTGTATGTACTTATAAAAGCTCAATTCAAATGAGAAGGCAATGTAAACACATTGTCATGGGAAGGAGAAATGGTTGGGGCATTGTGGTCAGAGACTGAACAGTGACATTGTGATATTAATTACATTGTTGTCAATGAGCAGTGAACATTCTCTCATTAATTCATAAATATGCATGCCCTACTTGTTTTACTGGCATATTCATTGGTGGGACCAGCAGGTGAAACCCTCCCATCTTCTTTTTAAAACAGGATGTGGAGGGAATGTGAACCTTGTTTTTAAAGGAAAAAGTACTTTCCTTCTGGGTGGTAATAAATTCAGTAGCCTGGCCATGGACCTGCCTGGAGCCCCCCCCCATTCCATGGATTTCGCCCTTCACTGCTTGGGTTTCTGTTTTTTGAAAAATGGATCCCTTCCCATTGGTTCAGATGTGATTATAAAATGGCTGCCGCAATACCCGATCTTCGCAATGCGGGTTTTCCCCATTGCGACGATCGGGTATGTTTCCGTATAGCGATCCCGAAAAAGGGATCGCTATACGGAAACATCGCTATACGGTGCACTCGTTAAGTGAGGCACCACTGTATTTAAAACAGTGCAGAAAGGAAGAACAGGATGAGTGCATGCACACACCCACAAAGCAGTGCTTTGCCTGTGCACCTTCCCCCTCATCACTTGCTTCACGAGGGAGGACAAGTTGTGCATACACATGCAGACACATACCACACACTCCCATTGAGCAAATCCTCTCACCATGGAAACATACTCTTCTTCCCCCTTTGTTGTTTTATAACAGCTTAAGAATAGAGAGCAAGAATTCTCTCCGTCCACAAGAGTTTTTCACAAGAGAAAATTGAGGAAGGATCGAGGAAGACAAAGCCTTTTTACACCTTGTTAATGCAGTTTTGCAGTATTGCCACCTGCAGGGCTATAAATAGAACTACAAGCAAGGAGCTAACAGGTTCTTTCCTCCTCTTTCTCTGGGAGGCTGCTTAAGCTGAACAGATCCAAGTTCCCCAAGTGTGACTTCATGGAGAGTGAATGTGAACAAATTTGCATTTCTCTCCCTGTATTGTTGGATCTTAATTGAGAGTGATGGGGATGCAGGTTACAGAAATAAAACTGGATTACTTTTCCTTAGACAAAACCTTAATTCAGCCATGTGGCTGTAACCGTACACTCGCTGCTGAGCTCTGAGTCTGTAGCACATTGGCCACCATATAGCAGAGTTAGAACTCTGCATCAGTCTGGTCAAAATGTTTCTTGCCATGCCAGGATCTTTTGGCCTAAATCATATTGCAGAAAACTACATGTGTAATGGCAGTTGTTTAAGTAGTCTTTGGTCTTCCCTTGCTGTTGATTACTTAACAGAGGGTGACCAAGTGCATGCTAGAGAGCCAGCGAAATTGCTCCCACTTCCTGCACAGCTGTCCTTATCCAGTCATGTGAACAACAGGATTCTGGCCGTTGCTGTTACTATAGTTCTGCTTAGCATTTATCCCATCTTGCCTTAATTCATTTACATAAGTAACAGCTGGGAGGCTATTCAGACCTCTCACTACATTCAAAACAGAAACAGATGCAGCCACTAGAAAAATGCTGTATTTCATGAAGCAGTTTTCCAGGAATTAGACAAACATGAATTCTTATTGTTTTTTTTTTTTCTTGCCTTTGCATGAAATAGAAGCCCAGCTTGTTTAGACAGAGTTTTTGGGAAATCCAGGATGGATCAGATGCATATTTACTGCTCTGATCACTTGACCTTTTTGTCTCTGTTGCACTGCTTATTCCAGTGCACTTTCTTTCTCTCTCTGCTGACTACAGGGGCTGGTGCTGATTTTGTGATGCTTGGGGGCATGTTTGCAGGGCATGATCAATGCGCTGGGGAGATTATAGAAAAAAATGGCAAGAAGATGAAACTGTTCTATGGGATGAGCTCTGACACAGCTATGAAGAAGCATGCAGGTGGTGTTGCAGAATACAGGTATTGACAATATTCACCCTTTGGTACAGGACTCAGGTTCCCTTCTTCAGACTGCTCCTGTTTAACAGTTGTCACTGGTAGCAAAGGGCACGTATCACCTACAGGTGCAAGAATCATAAATCTTGCAATCATTTGGGTCAGAATGTCTTCATCCCAGTTTTCCTCTTAAAATTACATACAGTACTTTAGCAATAGGGAGTATACACAGTAACTACAATCCAGAAAAAGAGGTTCATGAACACTTATGTTCATTAATTTCTGTAAGTTTAATTCTAACCTACATTGTAAGGTGGTCTCTGACTTGCTGGATTCTTAATAGGTCAAGTGTGCATGCCAGCTTAATCCAGACTGCCTTGGAAAATCAAATCCTGTATGTGGTTCATTTTTCTTTCTCAGTTAAAATTCACAGGTGATGTGTGTTTTCACAATTCATATTAATTATCATGAAGATACATTATCTATCCAGAGGTTACTCATGTATTACAACATTGGGTCAAATAACTAAACCAGAAGGTTTCAAGCCAAATACGTCGGCTTGTAAGCACAGTGTAAAAGTGCTCAGAAGTAATAAACGGACTTGTCCATGAAACCACACACTAAAATATAACAGTCTTTAAGGTGCCACAATGTTTTTGTTTCCTTTATTGTTTATTTTTGTTTTGTTTTTGCCAGAAGTAGTAAAAAAGTTGCAAGGAGCTGAGTTACATAGTGACAGCTCTGAAAAACCCTTCTAGAAAATTGTATTATCTTTATTTCCTTTTAAGTTGCATCCTTCCACCCACACAAAATCCAGAACAGTTGTATAGTAAACACATTTGTAAGGTTGCAGGACCAACCTGATCTCATTGGGTAGATGATTTTTTTTAGTTAGGAGTACAAACCAGAATAAAGTCAGGTGGGACCAGCACTGTTGAAAAGGGCATATTGGAGGAGCAGTGAAGGAAAGCTTTGTAATGCTGGAGCTGAAAGGATTTCACCAGTCCTATTGAATACACTATTCCAACAGTGCAAATAAATCCATCTTCCTCTCCAGAGCTTCAGAGGGCAAAACAGTGGAAGTGCCTTACAGAGGGGATGTGGAAGACACCATCCGTGATATCCTGGGGGGACTGCGATCTACCTGCACTTACGTGGGAGCTGCTAAACTCAAAGAGCTTAGTCGAAGGACAACCTTTATTCGGGTAACTCAGCAGCACAGTCAAGTCTTTTCTTAGCCAAAGAAGAAAAAGGCGGGAGATCCGAGTTGTGAAACATACCGGCTTTTCCTCCTCTTTTATTTTTATTTCTGGCAACGCGGCTACCTGTTAGGATACACGAGGTGGCGAAAGAAAGCAGGCTGGTTGCCTGCCATCCGTGTTGATTGTAGCGGTGAGGTTAAGACTCAGAAGAAGCCATAGACAACAGCCACATCCATGATCTATATTTTTTTGTTGTTGTTGTTCAAAGTATATCTTTTTTTCCTAGTTTTGCCTGTCTAAATGAGAAATCTAGTTTGATCTTTGGATACTAGGCCATGAAGTTTCCCACATCTCCACTGATGGTATGTATGTTCATCTGCTGGAACAATTCTATGAGCAAATCCACGCAGGCTTTTGAGATTCAAATTGCCCGTTTGTGCTGCTTTTGTGACATGGTCTGCGGGTCAGGAAAGGACAGCTCCAAAACCTAGACATTGTTCAACGCAGGGGTTCTACTCCAGCATGCCAGACTTGGACCTGCTTTTCTAGAACTAAAAGATGCTATTTTATTTTCACTGTGACATGAAGTGCTGGATTTTTAAAAATATGTGCTGATTATGTTAATGTTCTTGAAGTTTCTGATTAAATAGTTGCATTCATTTTATTGTAATGCTTTGCTGAGGGAGGCATTCCATTCCCTTAGTATTTTAGAGACAAAACGTAATTGATAATGCTGCTTGTTAGTTCTTTGCAAATTGTTGTGGACAGCCTTTCAAGTCTACTGTTCTCTAGATACGTTGGTCTGCAACTCCCATCAGCTTCAAGAAACATGGCCAGGGGCAAGTCATCTCAGAAGTGGGAGGCCGAAGCATCTGAAGCAACTCACGTTATGGAAAGCTGCCTTTTGATAAGGACTAAGAATACACAACAGCTTTGTAATTGGGTGGAGCCATTTCCTACTTAGCAAAGAGTCAAGGGCTTTCAGACATTATAGAACAGATACAAAAAGGCTATATATTGAGCAGTCCCATATATTTAGGGTCCAACCAAAGAACCAGAATTTAAGCCTAGGTACCTATCAGTAATGAATGGCAGTGCTGTCATGACCTTTAATCTGTTTAATTTCTCCTCATCCTTTGGTCAGCTACAGCACAAGCTGTTGTGGTTGTTGGATGGAGGAAGGGGCTGAACTAAGGAGAGACATGCACAGTACTCCAGCAGTTCATTATGAGAAGTACTACTGTAACCAACAGACCTCTGTGTAGAAAAGTTATTTAGTGTTATCTGTTCATCATGCAACTCGTGTTGCTTTGTGGCCTTCCCCCCCTCCCCAGCATGGTGTGGGCATACTACTTCTTTACCTTCTGCAATAGGTATGAATGGCTCTCCTTCCATGACAATGGTGTCCTTAATGTCTTCTGTGATGATGATGATGCCACATTTCTCCCAACAGACCCAGAGCGGCTCACAACATTAAAATTTACACAATTAAAAACACAGTAAGTTAAATATTAAAAGACAAATTAAACAACATATGATTTAAAATTAAATTAAAAGATTAAAACATAGAGAAAGATTAAAATTATATGTTAAAATGGAATTTAGAGATTCAGTTGTAATTGTTAAATTATAATAGTTGTAATTGTTAATTGTAATGTCTAGGGCAGAAAATTAAGTTTTGCCTTCACCATTTCCCCCAGGTCTGGAATTTCTGTTTCATACATGGAAGTGAGTGACTGTGTTATTTATATCAGTGGTTCTTAACCTTTGTTACTCGGATGCTTTTGAACTGCAACTCCCAGAAACCCTAGTCTGGACAGCTGGTGGTGAAGGCTTCTGGGAGTTGCAGTCCAAAACTCCTGAGTAACCCAAGGTTAAGAACCAGTGATTTATATGAACAAAACCCTGAAAAATTTGCACCTATAAAACCCTTGAACTGGGCATGTGTGCTTGCTTCCCCTCTCTCAGAGTGGTCAATTGATCAGATGGGTGGGATATAAATACAATAAATAAATACAACAAAAAATAAATTTCACATGCAGGGATTGCAGCTCAGAGCTGCAAGAGTATTGCTTCTTCCATTTCCTGTGAATTGATGAGCAGTCTCTGTAATTGATTTCCTCTGTAATTGATGAGCACCCTTACATCTGATTTTCCTCAGTGTGTATGTTGTGTAGAGTAGAAAAAGTCAAATGTTACAGGACAATGAGGCAGATCTGAGCATAATATGGAACAGTACAACTTACTGTCATTTGATCATGATTTCATGCGCATAGAAGCTCTAGTCACAAAAGCATAAGAAAAGCCCAGAGTTTAAGTAGTTAAAACAAATTAAGAAAGGAGGTAGAGGAGGAACAGGTATCACATCTCTTACGTTTTTAAAGTATATTATTGCCCTGGTAGATTACTCTGCAATCAACTACGCTACAGAATGTCATGTATCCATTATATCTTGGCAACATTCCCTCCATTTCCCCCCTGATTTTGATCCTGAAAGTTAAAACAGAAAAATAAAATATGCCAGTAAAATTCAAATCATAAAAAAGACTTCATTATGATCTTCATGCATTCAGTTCTATTACTTGGTCTCCATAGTTTGAGACCAAAATATTTTAATTCACTGTATGCAGAACTGTCCTTCCTGGGGTGATGCACTGTAAAGAACTTGAAGGTAAGCATGCATGGCCACAAGGAGTTCTCCACTGCAGTACAGTTCAAGCTGTTCAAGTACTGTACTTGCTGTGATCCTACACAATTTAAATTCCTATATGTTTAAACCACATGCTTGCTGAAGCATCCTTCATTTCTACCCCAATAAAACATGTCATTTTAAAATACTAACGTAAGCATCCATAAAAGACATGGAAAAGGCATGTTGTTGGCAGTGGGACTTACTATCAAGTGAACATGCATGAGGATTGCATTATGCAATTCTTTTCTTCCTTTGGGTTGGTTTAAATAGAAATACACAATATAAAGTATACATTTCTTCATTAAAAAAAAAAACCCTTACATCTTGCTATTGTAGAAGAGAGGTACGACACACTAGGACTCTTGAGACCAGGGTCTGAATCCCAACCTGGCCATGGAAATTCACTGAGGGAGTAGAACTGGAAAAACCTCAGTTTAAATATCACACTTACCTTGAAAGCCCTGTTAGGGTCATTATAAGTCGGTTCAGACTTGACAGAACATGACTAAATGTAGAAAATGTTTTACCCACTGCATTGCAGAGATTCGTAGTACTGCCATTTTGATGCAATGATGTTGAGACCAATTTTTAATGGCTGTAAAAAGCTGCAGAATAAACCCCACCCCTTTTCTGGCATTTCAAGGCTTGCATTTTGATTTATGAAACAACCACATGAAAAGAAGACAATAGTGGCAGAAAGCAACTGTTTATAAAACTGAATGACTATACTGTAGCATTGAATTAGATGCCCATGTACCCCCTTTCCCCCTGAAAATATGCCCTAGTATGACTTTTCAAGATGCTAATATAAGCTCTACCCCCCCAAATAAGCCCCAGTTAAGTGATGGGCCCTCCACCATTGTGCAGCAGCCAGAAGATGACACGACTGCATTTGAATAGTGTGTTTTAGATGGAAAAAATATCCCCTGAAAATAAGCCCTAATGTGTTTTTGGAGCAAAAATTAATGTATAAGATCCTGTCTTATTTTCATGGAAACATGGTAAGTACAGGATGAGGTACATATGTCTGAATTGTCCAGATAAAGTTTCGAACATAACAGTCACAGAAACCAAACCTTTTATTAACGTATAAGTCCTAAAAGTCCCATATCTGTTGGAAATAAATTGTCTGACATAAAGCAAATACCGTATTGTCCCGAGTATTGGCTGCACTTCTGCCCGCTAATGTAAGTCTTTAAACTAGGGGTGTGGCCTACAATCACGATGTTGCAAAAAAGGGGGTTGAGGAGGGGCAGGACCGCCTCTCGTTGCAACTGCTGCTCCTGTGCCTCATGTGAACAGGGCTTTGCACTTGTGTCCCACCTTCTTTTGGCTGATTGCCCATTTTAGCCAGGGGAGGCTCTCCTTCCTTCCCTCCTTTGTCTGGATTGGAAGTGGTGAGTCCTGGCCTTCCTCCTCCTTGCCAGCCTCTGCCTCACTCGAGTCAACAGACTACAAAGCTGTGGCTGGTTTGGAGTGGGAAGGAGAGGCTCAAACACACTGCCCATACCCCCACATCCCTGCAACATCACCTGCTGCCCTGCCACCGCCTCGGGTTGTCCCGCCAGGGTGGTTGGGTAGATGCTCATGATTATCTGTCATGGCCGGGGGGGCGCTGCCAAAGATTGGCACTGGCCACCACCAGGGTGTCTGCCCGCTTGCTGGGGATCCTGAGCCAGCGAGGGAGGGGAGGCATGAGGATCGGAGAGCACCGTCAGGCTGGGATCTTGGCCGGTGTCTGGAGGAGGAGGAAGAAGTGGGATCTACCTGGATTGGGCCTGGAAATGCCTCCGAGGCCCCTGCCAGGCTCTGTCCTCCGCTGTGGCTCTGGCCTGGGGGACTGGCGGAAGAGTCACGGAGGAGGGAGTGGTCTCCTCCCACTGGCTGCCGATCAAGGCGCCCACTGGTCCCGCCACCGGGAAACCACGGGCAGGACCCTCTGCCGGGTTGCACCATTGTGCCCATCTCCAGTGGCTTCTGCCCCCTCCCTATGCTGGCCACTGTCCCCCCTCTGTGCCTTGCCTTGCCCACCCCTGCTGTTGAATAATATGTCTATTTTCTTTAAGTTAAAAAAAGTTAAAAATTTAATTTAAAAAAATAGCACCAAACTTTAAGGATACAGCTTATAATCAGGAGCAGCTTATACTCAGAACAATACGGTATATAAAGGAAAAGCAATTAGATGTCAGTGACTCATAAGCGCCACAGTATCTATGAACACTTTACACATATTTTGTTTGGTAGTGGATTTCAGAAGAAATTCTTGTAGAGATGGTCATGAAATGCCAGTTTGTTTTGTCTCCTGGCTGAACATCTGATCTCTGTTTTGGTGCCCAGCCCCTTCCAGTGGGTGTTGAACCACAGATCAGCTGTTCAGCTGGGAAATTAACTGAGTCAAACTCCCAATTCATGTCCATCTCTATTAACTACTATAGCAGAGTGAGAGACACTTCCCATAACTGTTTCACAGTAGAGATGGGGGTATTCATTTATGAATATGAATATCCCACCCCCCACAGGTGCAGATACGCTCGACCTGGTTTTTTCCACCAGTTGGAGTGAGTGTGGTCAGATGGTGACTGACCTTGAGTTGGTTCCCTTGTCATGGTCAGATCACCACCTAATAAAATGCAGCCTCAAAATGGTGCTCCCCCCTCGCAGGGAGCAGGGACCTATTTCTATGGTCCACCCTCAAAGACTACTGGATCCTATTGGATTCCAGGATGCCATGAAAGGGCTTACGGCTGACCTGGCTGGCACTCCTGTCGAGGCTCTGGTTGACAGTTGGTTCACTGCTGCCACCAGGGCTGTAGACACTGTCACACTCTCTGGGGACGGTCCTCCAAGTAGGAACGGAGCCAGGCAAGCGGATTTTCACCGGACCAATTTGCAGCATTTTTAAGTCTAAAGTGGAGGCCGTCCGCCGGGATCTGTCTCCTTTTTTAAATACAGTGAGTCGAGCAGAGATGTCCAGCACTCCGTATTGCCCAGTAATCCTTGAGTGCTTTCAGCCTGTGACGCTGGATACTGTGGACAAGGCGCTTGATCGCTGTTGTGCCACCACTTCCTCCCTTGACCCTTGTCCGGCCTGGCTGATCAAAGCAGCCAGGCCTACAATGACTGAATGGGCCACAGCAA